ACCTTCCCGCTCCCCTGCTGCTGAGCCGGTGCTGCCGCTTGCCCCGGCCTGCCGCCCTCCCCGCCGCGCAGCCCCGTGCTCACCTGTTGCTACTCGTCCCCAGCCAGGCTCTGCGCGCTCGGCGTTGGTGCCAGCGCCTAATCCCCACGCTGCAGCGCGGCGGTCTGGGGTTCAGCTCTGCTGAAAGCCGCTTGGCTGGCACAGGTTTGTCTGCCCGTGAGCGCGGGGTAGGGTCTTCTCAGACCCAGCCCGAGCTCCGGCGCGGTGCAGCTGGAGTAGAGAGGAGCAGGCTTCTCTGGGTGGGTGGTTACGGCATGGCCTTGTAAGGCTGCTCCGTGTGCCTTTTGTGTTTGGAAAGTTTTCCAGGAAAGGAGCGAGGGTCAGTTAAAAGGCCGTAGCTAAGCTTCTGTGCAAGACAAATCATCGGTTGAAGGGTTTTTAAATACAAGGCTGTGGTTCTTTGTCACCTGATTGTGCTAAAGCTCAATATAAATAACTGTTTCATAGCAGGCATTCTTGACTTTCAAGAGGCTCCCTTTAAAAAGGGTGCTGTGTCCCAAAGCAGTGCTGGTGCTGCAGCTGTGCAGGGACTGGGGACCTCTGCTGTAGTTTGGAAAAGAGAAAGCAACGTACTGCTTCAAAGTCTCAGCGTTGTCTTCAACTCTCGCTCTGGAAATAGGCACGTGCAAAGTTCTGTTAAAAGAGCTAAACTCCATTTCCGTCCTCTGCAGGTGGCAGCCTGGTGTTCCCATTCTCTTTAGTCAAATGAACTCCAGCAAAGAGAAGGGGACATGTGAGAGCTGGCTTGCGAAATAGTCCCTCAGGCTGTCCTGATATATCGCAGTGGATGCCACCATGACTGGAGTCTAAAGAGTGTGATCTATTGCGCTCGCTGCAGACTAGAATTACACTTAACACCACACTCTTGTTTGCAGCGTACTTTGCTGTTTGCAATGTTGGTTAGCAGTTTGTCCATGCTGCAGTTCTGCAGCAGCTTGAGCCAGTGTGGTTTGGGGCTTCCATGACTCCAGCCACACGTTCCTCTGCCTGTGTGACCGAGCAGTAAGTCAGCACAGAGAGTTAATTTTGCAAAAAAAAAAAAAAAAAAAGATAGCTTTTTCTGGTAGGTTAGCTTTCAGCTGTCTCAGCTCTCTGAAGTGGCACACCATGTGGTTGCGTGAGTGTGAATGTTTGCTCGAGAGATGGTAGGAACGTGGCAAGAGGGACACAGTTGTCACAGCTTACGCTGGCACAGGCTGATACAAAACTTTTCACCTTTCCCATTTATCTGGCTCACTGACAGTTCCCGGAGAGTGCACGTAGTTTGACTAAAATTGACTTCCCCCCCCCCTTTGTGCAGGTCGAATCCTCCTTATTAAGTTCTGACTTAGAAAATGCACCCAAGCACTGTCCCTTCTCTTCAGAAGATTTGGTGGTCTCACTGGAAGATAGTTCTTGCTTCCTCAGGCTAGGCGTGCTGTCCTGGTCCTCCTGCTGCACGTTATTTTGGCAGACAGTTTATGGAACTGGTGCATTTTCTCTTGAGGATGTGTCTGTATCTGCTTGGCAGTAGTGCCTGAGACTAAAATTCAGTGTGGCTTCTGAAATGCATCCCCAGATATCATGGGGAAGGTAGACTATAGTGAAGTGTCCTGCCGGACTGGATGCTGGAATTAGGTAGACTTCTGGCTTGATTCAGTATGGCTGTTCTTTTGTTATATTCATTCATGTGTAACGGGACTGTCAGTCTTTGGTTTTACTCTGTGTTTTAATCACGTATCACTTTTGGGAAACATACAGTTGGATTTAACTTGCAGAAAGGCAGAGATGAGAATTTGTGCACGTTTGAGGGTTGAGGTCCCTGCTCAGACACTGTTGCTGTTCTGTGATGACTTTTCAGTGTGAAATTTGTTTGTAGTTTTTCAGCATGGGAATGGGCTAACTCAGGCT